ACACTACTCTAAATGACTCTCAAGGAATAGGGAGGGGGAGGGGAGGGGAGGGGAGGGGAGGGGAGGACTGTAATGTTGGGTTCCGATGCCCCCGGGCCTTTACCACCAGCAGCCCTCCTTATGGTCTAACCCCTGACCCAGCTCAACAGAGGATGGAAACACACGTTATTTATATCATACAATTGCATAAATATGCCATGGTAGGTTACGAGTGTGTTATGATCTTCAATAGGCAGTCCTGCAAGAGAGTAATTATAGCTTTATAAACTTGCTTCAGTAGGTTCTCGGATGCGTAGCACGCCGAACGTTTTCGCACCCCTTCACGTTCGGGCAAACGTGTTCGCGCGTTCGCGCGAACAGCTTGCGAACATGTTCGGGCGAACATATTTTTTTTCGTAAAATAATAATAATAATAATAATAATAATAATAATAATAATAATAATAATCGATTTTTTATTTTTAACTCATGACTAGCTACGAATTTGAACATGACTCCAAGGCAAAAGTTGCTTGTATTGCTAGTTTACATAACATATATTTTTTTCAAATTTTGTTTTTGAACCTTTTTATTTTTGTTTTTTTTTATGTTCGCGTTCGGAGGGGTTTTGGTGCTTGTTCACGTTCGAGCGAACATGTTCTCGTTCGCCTCCGAACGCGAACACAGTGCTACGTAGGTTCTGGGTATGTCATGATCTACAATTGGCAAAAGAACATAACTATATCTCTGCATACCAAGAATAACGACAATGTTCAGAGACACTGGACCCCGTTTCCAACAGGTGTTGCTCCCACCAATAGATGGAGCCTCCCGAGAATGCTAGGGGTGTCTGCTCTTATCAACACCCCTAGCATCCATTCAGGTGATTTTCCAGAAAAAAAATAAAAAAAATAAAAAAAATTGACTCTTTAAAGTCAAAAATCACTTTCAGATTTCATGTTCAGTTGAGTATAAATTCAGAAAAGGCAACTTCTCTAGAGGGAGTCCTGTCAAAATTTTCTCTGTTTTGAGGAGTTAGATTATATTTCAATAAGAAAAACTTCGGCGATTCACCCCGTACTGGGGAGGTGCTGCCGAAATTTTCCTTCTTCTTCTGACACCCATAGAAAAGAAGATTTAGATTTAGACTTAAGAGAATTTGAGTGAGATGTGATATGGAGGTTTATTCTCCATACACTTAAAAGTTTAGTTTTGGGAATTGAGGTGTGTTGTGTTACAGGTCATTTTTATCATTCCGATTCAAGGGATATCTGTAATCTGATTTTTTAAAAATTTATCCAAGTCCTTGTAATTTTAGCCTTTTCTACTTTAACACGTTGAATGAGCAAATGATCTTCAGGTTTCAAATTTAGCTTAATCTTCGGTTGTAGAATGTGCCTTCGAAAATTTGACCACTTTAAATTGCATGCTTTCTTTATTACTCGAACACTATACGGATGATGAGGTCTCATATTCACTATCATTGAATTTGTTTTTCTAATAAGCATGGTAAAAAAATATTCATTTGAAGACTTAGTTTTAGTCTGATCCTGCAAGGATCGTCTTGTTATCTTTTGTGAGCAGGTTTGCTGCCGATTCATCGGTTTCCGGCTCAACTCTTACACATTCTTGCTACTCAACTTAAGGTATTCGCCCATGTGGGTTGAAATATTTTTTTGGGTTTTTGCCCGGATTTTTATTAAACGGTCATTTAAAAAGGACTGGTGTTTTCTTTTGGAAGAGTGGTCAAAGGTTGGGGCTTGTGTGAATAAGGCAAGGGTTGTGAGTGCAGAGAGTGGTTGAAGTTAACCCTGTGTAATACGTGGGTTGTCGTTGGTGAATCTTTGGTGTGATTGCAGGTATGTTTTGTGAGTTGAAGTCTAAATTTGACCTTGTCTGCGATCCTATGTATACTTTGAACGGGGATCACACTGTGATTCTGAGACTGATCATCTTCTGTCCTACAACCCCATTATATTTATATCTTAAGTATCCACGCGATCTACTTTGATCGTGCGCAAGGATTGAACAAGTTTGATTTAAGAGAAAAAAAATATCAATTTTTACGTTTGCTTTTTAAAAATTTTATAGTTTGACGTTAAGGTTCGTAGTGGTTGTCAAAGTCCAACCCCTTGACCTGTTTTCATGCCTCCAATGATGAAGCCCCATTTCCAGGGTCAGAGGCGAGTAGCTTTCGGATGTGGCTCGGTAACTCGGCAGGGATACGCCTTTCCAAGGTGGTGAAAGCCCCTTGGGCAGAGGTAAGTTATGCCTTGCCTGACCCCTATTCTATCGTAGAGGTTCACGAAAGGTGCGGCTAGCGCACTCGGCTGAAACGGCAAAAACTCCACTGCGATGTCGGCGTGAATACCCTTATAAAGGTATCCGCCATTGTTTTTGCAAGTGACAATAAATAGGTTTGGTTTAAGGTCTAAGTGCATCGCGCGATTCGTGGTCATGTATGTTATTTACGTTGACTAAATGCTATGTATCATCCGCGGTCATGACCGCCCTTCCTCATGGAGGGATAGGGGAGGGACACACAGACACACACACACACACACACACACACACACACACACACACACACAATCAGTTTTATATCTGTCTATTTTTCTCTTGTTGTCAGTCCTCCCTCTGATTTTTTCTAAGTGTTTTTGCTTACCAAACTGAGCACCCTTACATAGTGCCAAAGAGTCGGTGGTTCCTCTTTTGGAGTGCCTACTGCACTCGTAGGGGGGCTGCTCAGTTTGGAATGTCTGTGTTGCCTATGGGTGATGACGGATGCTTGTCGGAATGACTCCCTGGCTTAGTGGGCGGTGGGAACCAACAGTCTGCGGGGTTCAATCGTGATGCGAGTAGGTCATGTGCTGCTTTGCTTCGTGTTGGATGTGTGGACTGCCTCATCTGCGCTCTGCCGCTGCCTTGTTGCTTGTTCCGCTCGCTTCACATGTGGTTCTTTGCAGGTTGATGTGTTCGCTGTGTGGTATGGCCGTGTTGTTGGTGTTGCCTTTGCGCTTCGCTACTCCGCTGCCTTGCCGCTCATCTGCTGGTCGTGCCTTCCATGTCCTTTGCTTGCACGCCTTGTAGTTCACTTGCCTTGTAAGTGTTGCCTTGTGTGTGTGTGTGTGTGTTTGTGTGTGTGTGTGTGTGTGTGTGTGTGTGTGTGTGTGTGTGTGAGAGAGAGAGAGAGAGAGAGAGAGAGAGAGAG